CAAAACTCATTAATTTGGGGGTAATGGGGGCAGATTTTCTGATATTCATTGAATAATTCAATGGATTTGTGAAGCATGTGAAAAATATCACGGGAGGCTAAGAATCAAATGAGATGGCAATTCTGCTGCCTCCAAGGAACTGAAAAGAGTACAACAGGGAAGGTCTGGGACATAAATCTGTCTCTTGGTACAAGCAAAACAGTGACAGGAGTCTTAACAGAAGTGGAGGGGAGGTTTCCTGGACATTACGGAATAGTGCTACTCAAAATGTGGTATGTGTTTTGGACGCCTGTATTGCAATTTAACAGTATTTTTATGTCTATTGAATCTATATATAGTAAGCTCAATAATTATGCTTGCATTTTATATGACCTTTTTATTTCATTTTTCATTTCATGTTTCTAGTAATTAATGCTCATTCATTTTGCGAAAGTACTAATAAATGACAGAGCATAAATAAGTGGTTCTTTACTACTGCAGCCTGAGAAGCAGTATATCCTAGAGCCGTGTTTAAGGCCAACCACATTTTTCTTACTAGAACTCAATTTGATAGCCATTTGGATATACATATAATAACGTACTACATATTTTTTACATATAGTATTTGCATAAAATATTTAAAGTCACAAAAATCTCTGAATATATTCTAAGTTTATACTCTTTGGCAATTCATGTAGAAAATAAATCTGCATAGTAATGATTTGACAAAGCAGTAGACATATGCTTTAAAAATAAACAAAGCCAGGGGGCGCCTGGGTGCTTGGTCGGTTAAGGGTCCAACTTTGGCTCAGGTCACGATCTTGCGGTTTGTGAGTTTGAGCCCCACACCGGGCTCTGTGCTGACAGCTCAGAGCCTAGAGACTCCTTTGGATTCTGTGTCTCCCTCTCTCTTGGCCCCTCCCCAGCTTGCGTGCCCTCTCTCTCTCTCTCTCTCTCTCTCTCTCTCTCTCTCTCTCTCTCTCTCAAAAATAAACATAAAAAAATGTTTTTTAATTTAAAAATAAAGCCATAACCAATTGAGATTCAGAACCTTTGATGAGCCATGAAGTGAATATTTAAAAATCAACAATTATGATAAGTATTTTTCCTTGCAAAAAAATATAATGAGAGGTCACTCCTATAGTCAGGGTCAATTAAGAGATGAGGAAAAAAGAGATGAGAAACAATGTGTTGCTCTAGAGTTTTGTAGAACACTGCTTGGCACAGAGTAGGTGCTCAATACTTGCTGAATGAAAAAAAAAAGGTATTTAAGAATAAATAATGAGGCAATGGATCTTAGTTAACATTGTGGTGTAATGCTGGAAGATGATGTTTCCTCAAAGGAAAAGACATTTCCTTTACAGGAAGACTCCATTCCATTCCAAACTTCGAGCATGCTGATTATTATGACAGGGGCTTGCTCTGAAAGATGCCGTAGTGTGAGCTGAGGCTTTGTCAGTGACTGGTGGTGGGACCTTCTTGGTCCTCCTCCTCCTCCTAGATCTCCTTGCCTACAACATGGAGATGATAACAGAGCTCACCTCACAAGCTAACTGGGGGAGAAGATGACATGTTATATGAGCATTTTGTTTATGCCTGGTACTTAGGGAATGCCCAGGTAAATGGAAGACAGCAGTAGTATTATGTGAAAGCAGAGGATTCTGCCAATATTTTGTCACTTTGACCTACAACAATGGCAGTTTCTTATGGTTCAGCCTAATATTAATGGTACCTGGTTTCAAATACAGTAAACAGAACCTTTCTGCTCAAAATAATTCATCAGGTGGAGACTGATGTATTCGTTTCCTGTCACCTCCACTATCTTACCTGCCAGCATATGTCTCCTGGGCTGCTGTCCAAGTTACAAAAAGGGATGTATGAGCCTGGGAAGCATGTCACACATGGGGAGTGTTGCCATCATAATCCTCTGGCTGCCTGATGGCAGGGTCTGCCCAGGACACGTACACCTACACTGCTGGTTCCTCCAGGGCCTCAAGGGAAGCAATGTTACAAACCACATTACAAACCTTCAAAGATTCTATGGCTCTTTTTGAGCAAAAGTGCTGGGCAGCTTTAGAGCTTGAGATGCAAAGCAACAGCAGGCCAGATTCTGGAAAATGGGGTTCCAGGTATAAACTAGGGCTGGCCCAATAACTTTGTGTGGGTGGGCCACATACAAATTTATCAGTGAGAGCTAGCACTGGAAGCCATATTTATACCCCTCCATCGACCATCATCACCTTCTTACTCACTTCTACCTTTTATGGTGCAATATAACCAGGCTACAACCCTCAGGCTCCCACACTGCCATCATCACCACCACCACATACACAGCTAGTATCATTCTTTCCAAAGTAAGAAACTCAACCTCCAAAACATCTCATGATGGTTAGAAATTCCTGTTCCTACCCATCATTTTTACAAATAAGTACTGTAACAGGTTACATAGCTTGGGAAGAACCAGCGTGGTGTCTATGTCTTTAATATGAAAATATTTTATATTTTCTGCCTATAAACTTAAACACAAGTTCTAAATCTTGGAACTATTTTAATAGAAAGGCAGATCAAAGCCCAATGAATGTCTGCTTAAAACACCGCTTTATACAGCCTACTTAGGGTGAGGAGGTTTATAAAGTTGCGTTTCTGGATTTTAAAAAATTGTCAGATAATTTCGTTTGAGCAAAACTACGTGTATAGAGCGTATTAGCACAAAGGTAGTCTACTGAAATCCATTTTTCTGTACGTATTTATGTATTTAGTTTTATCTCTAGGTAAAGTTTCATATAGGAATTTAAATATATGCTCTTAGAGGGAAAGAAATTATTCTATATAATACCTAGCACTGTCTCCAGCATGTATTAGGAATTAAGTAAATGTATACTGAATTAAATCGAACAGAAACTCAGGGAAAGTAATTAAGTTAATTTTCACATGAAAATACAGTAAATCAAATGGTGGCTTCTGATGTTAGATTAAAAAAAAAAAAGATACAATAGTCGTGGGAAATTAACTCAAGAATCTCAGATTAATTTTCCACTAAAGTGAAACTGAATTATCCTTGCTCCTTGAAAAGGACATAATACTCTAAGATTTAACCGTCAGCATGAGGAAAATGCATTTAATTTAAAATGTGCCTATTTCTACGAGGCATGGAATCCATTCTTTAAAGGCTAAAGCCACAGGTAAATAACAGTCACAGGCAATGGAATGGCTCCTTGTATAGGTAGAGACATCAATACAGAATTCTGTTCATTAACAATTGATGGCTTAGTAGGGCTAGGTGATTGGGTGGGAGGCACAGAAAGAACAAAGATGGGCCCACCTAAATACCAGGAATGAAAGAGGCCCCCCAGCTGTGCTCTGACCCTGAAACCTGGAATGGAAAGACAGGGGTCACCAAGGGCAGAGCTCACAAATACTCAACACACAAGATGCCCAATCTGTAGTGGCACAGCCGGGCGCCGTGTGAATTCAACAGGAGCCCCGAGAAGCTAGGAAAGATAATAGTCTATTTCCTGTTGGTTTACAAACTTGTTTTTATACACTATCATGCTCCACCTTTCCATTAAAAACAAGTCTAGATAACTGAAGGGGGTAAAGGTTAGGTAAAAAAATAAATAAACCATCACCAGTTCTATCATTATTTGTACATTTTTTTTTGTATGATACAAAGCAAACCTTTAAGAGAACTTGATCAAGCAGGCTCACCACCATGACCTTTCCCTTGAAGGCAAGTCCTTCAGTTGGGTATCAGGGTCATGCCAACTCATAGATGATTTTTAGAAACCTACCATGATTCATTCAAAGCTCAGACTTCATAGACCCAGGAACTCTTCAAACGCATCATTCCTCCAGTATAACTCAAATGCCAGGAAGGATGGCTACACCCTGAAAATCCTTCTTTCCTCAGAGCGATTCTATATGAGGATCTCAAAACTCTAAGCTGCCCCTGATGGACCACAATCTCCTAATCTTTAATTTTAGTTTCCCATTTCTCCCCTTCTTTTGCTCTCACTGGACCCTCCAGCCTCTGGATGTTTCCCTAATCCTTGGTTCACTAGCATTAAGTGGATCCCATGGGCAGTCATTTCAAACTGGCTGTCACCAGGAATGAGAATAGAACCTAATTTTGATGTAGCACTTCATGATTCAGGAGGGGCTCTCTTGGGCCTTCTCTTACTTGATTTCATTTGCAACAGGTCTTATTATTATTCCTCTTAAATAAGTAGCACAGAGGAATTTGAGAGGCCCCATGAAAGCTTGCTGACATGAGACTGTAGTCAGCTATTTGTAATTTTATCCTGCCTGCCTCAGTGGCAAGGGACACGAGCCAGGCAAAACGGCACAACGGCAGGAGATACAACCCAGGATACCTATGACCGTGCCTTAGCACCTAGATTCAGCCTCAGCATTAGATTCCAACCAAAGAAGCAACTCTATCTTGAAAAGGAATACAAACTACATAAAGCAGTCAACAATGTGTATTGGCAGCGAGGCACTCAGAAAAACAAGCTGTGCTGAGCCAAAGTTCTATATGTAGCTGGCTCAGAAGAATAAATTAAAACAAGTCAAACAAAGCCTCACCATGACCAAAATAGGTATGTGTCTTTTTGCTTCCAACTCTCTCAAAAAAGTAACAATAATGCAATACTATCTATCTTCAGTTAATTAATTCAAGCTTCTTGCAGCAAGCTTTTGTACCTCAATCTGTATTACAGACCATCTGTCTCTGCGAATCGTTAGCTCTCACCCACAGCCTGCTTCCTAACCCTTAGTAGAAATGTGATCTCCTTCAAAGCCGGAAAAACATTCTGTGACACCAGAGGGGGGTTAAGGACGGACATTTTAAGTAAACCGATGTCGTTACTTTACGATGCACCGCAGCCACCTCCGCTGTTAATGAAACAACACCTTCACATCCGTGAACAAGAGCCATAGTGTTTGTATAACAGGAACAATTCTCACTGGTCAATCAGATGGCAAATTTTCTATGCGGAGAAAGCAAAGCTTAATTCTGTTACCTCTAAGTGACTTCGCCTCTCAGCAATCACTCGTTCATCCTTGTTTCCAAATAGTTTCTTTGGAGGGAACTCAAGGGTAGCAAGCTGAAATACATATTTTATAAGAGATGCATTAATATCATACCTACGACCTTTGGCTTTTATTTATCTATTATCTGCAGTCTCTATCATGGGGTAAAAAGAGGAAGAGGTTGGAAATTTCAAGATGGTAGGTCCTCACCTACTCTGTCACTAATCTACTGCGTGACCTTGAACGGACAGGGTAGGACTCCACAATGGTCAAATGAGGAGGAGAGATGATGGGAACTCAGAGAAAGGACAGGTGTTGGTCCCAATATTTTGTCTCAGATGGGTGTTTCCCAAGTTTTATTTGTTAAAACGCAAGTTTGTTCTTTTAGTCCCCTCCTCACGCTAGAATTCAATTATTTTTGTGCTAGGAATGAAAGCTTACCTTGCACAGTACTGGAACATTCTGTAAAACATTCTGAGACCATTGTTCAGGTTCCTTAAACATTCCATATTGCCTTTTTATAGCTATGGTTACAAATGAAGAATTCCCGTGTGAAGGGAGGACCTCTCTTTGAATCTTTTCCTTGTTCTTTAGAGAATAAAGGCTTAGGATTTGTTTTTAGCCAGGTCTCGGGATTTCATGGTTATTTTCTTTGTGCTTCTCTTCTTGGAGGTATTAAAATCGTAATAAAAAGATAAGTTTTATTATAGGCCGTGAGGCAAGAAAGAACTCCATAATCTGATGAGCACCTGACCAGCCAGTGCTGCTCTGGTTAAATGAATGCTAAGCGGAGCAATAATTGCTGGTGTTGGTGAAATTCACTATTTCCTGCCTTCCTCACCTTGTCGGGTTCAGACAAACTGAGAGGCTGATGAAGGATTATCAAGAAAAAAATTAACGTTTCTTCCAAAACATATGTCACAGTGTGTCACAAAATACCTGTTTTATACACATTTAAATCTCTTAGTTGATTTAAATTTTTATTACCACAGTGGCAGTCAAAAATTAAGAACCGGCGCCTATATGTTTAGTGCTTGAAAAGCTCAGTATTAAAGTAGAAGAATATACGTAAAGTGCACATAAGTGAACTTGGTAAATTTTCAACATCTCAACACACTGAAGCCACTACCCAGATCAAGAAAGAGAACATGCTCAGCACCGTAGGCCCCGCCAAGCACCCCCTCTCAGCCCTGCTCTCCCGCCCTCTACAAAGACTGACGCTAGCCTGACTGACTTCCAACAGTGAGGCTCAGTGTTGCCTATTTTTGAGCTTTATGAACTCCTTGGTGTCTGCCTTCACCACCCTACCTCATGTTTGTGAGATCCATCCACTTTGCTGTGTGTAGCAATAGTTTGCTCATTCTTGTAGCTACACAGTATTCCATTATGCGAACATTCCACCATTTATTTGTTTAATAGTCTTGTGTTACTGGGCTACTGGTTAGTTTCTAGTTTGGGGCCATTAGGAATTGTGCTGCTATGAACACTTTCCCAAAGGCCTTCTGATGAACATATGCAGGGATTTCTGCTGGTCAGAGTCTTGGGAGTAAAAATGCTGGGTCACAGGGTATGCAAGTGTTCAGCTGTGTTGGAATTACCGAATGGTTTTCTGGAGTGGTTTAACCACCTGACACTCCCATGAGCAGGGACTGAGAGATCCAGTTGCTTCAGATCCTTGCCAATATCTGGTCCATCTCTGGTTTGTCTTTGCAATTCCATTGGGTGGGCAGTGATCTCTACTGTGGCTCAAGTTTACCTTTTCCTAATGACTAATGACGTTGAGTGAAACTTTCACATGCTCACTGATCATCTGGTTGGTCATTGTGGGGAAGTGTCTGCTCAACTCTTTTGTCATCTTTTATTAGGTATCTAAGGTATCTTCTGTTTTCTTATTAATAGCAATTCTCCTTGTTAACTCTCATCAAGGTATCTTTGATGACTTAATGTCCTTTTTTAAAGTTAACTGAGGTTGGGAAGATGTTTACTCCTTTCACACTCTAGCGTTGTACCAAAGCAGAGAAAACTTGGGGTGGGTGGCATGGAGCACCTCTTCTCCTCCTACTCTCACCACGTTCCAATTTTGCTGATGACACGGAGCTTTAAAATCAGTTCAAGGTAAAGTGAAAGACCTTGGGTACTGAGGTAAGGCACACCCAGTCTGAATCTTGGCTTGACCACTATCTAGCTGACTGGTTGTGTTTCTCTCTGCCTGAATATTCCCTGCGGAAAGGCGGCGGACAACGATCCTAAACTTCCCCAGGTTTCTGTGAAGATGTAGTGAAATAATGACAGATGGACCTTAGCTACTGTTACGATTTGCTAGAGATCTGCTCGTTACAAGAAAAGCAGCATGCCACATCCTCTTGGACCCTCTCTCCATCCCTGGACTGGTGATGTGGCCTCAGGGAGCAAAGGGTTTTCTGGAACCTTGGCCTCGCTGGCAAAAACACACTTCCCAGCTGTTGCAGTTTCGAGAGACAGGTACACCAGAGCTTGTCTTTTGGGCTTTATCTAGCCCCTATTTTATCTTGTACAAGCGTGTTTCCCCCCAGCACTGACGCTGAAACCTTGGCAGGCATGCTGTCACAGTTGGTTGTTTTGTCATTTTCTTATATGGCTGATGACGTGATGTGGTTTCTGTCAGGGGAAATTTATAGTCACGTTTGTGTGCTCAATCAGAAATGGGGCACTAACAGGACTTGAGGCAGCTGAACCGGGTGGGGAGCAAGCATTTAGCTGTCCTCGTTGTCAACAGCAATACTCTATTCTGAGAGGGAGGATAAAATTTTGTGCTGTTAATAACCACCCTGTGAAACAAGCACGTATAAAGTATGTGTAATGCTGTCGTTCAGATTTTTAAGAAGAAAAGGACACCTGTTAACAACTTTCAGGCATATAATCAGAGGACTATAACATTCAACCACTTAACTTCAGAGACCAGGAAACACAGTTAGTTCTAGACTTAAACAGTCATGGTGTGGCTGAGTTGAGACAAGGAATCAGCGCTGACTCTGAGTGTTTCACAACAGTGCTGTAGAGGGTGCCTGCAATGTACAGAAAAACCCCTTTCAAGTCCTTGGGAATCTAGGATTCAGAAGAAAAAAAGTAACCCCTTCTTAAGAATATTAAACCAGAAGAGTGATGTATAGCTGCTAGGCAGTGGCCAACAGTTCCAAGAGCTGTGAACAGAACCCCATGGAGACTGGTACCCAACAAGGGAATGGGAACATGCGGAAGAGCAACAGCAGTGGGGGTAACAGGAAAGGGGCTGGGTTGGGAGGCAGGCTCCCAGAAGTCCATCCTGGGATTGGTCCTATGAGATTAGTCCGTTCCTGTCAGCTTACTCCTCTCACAATAAAAACTGGGAATAACGGTGGCTATCCTTATACACAGCTGAAGAGAGGAAGGAACGGACGGGGGCAGAAATTCTAGTATGAATCATGATAGAAATGCACACTAGTGGGTCCATGTGCTTTTGGTGGGGCTGGGGCACAGAGCAAATTAAAGTAGAAAGGCAAGGCTGTGAGACAAAGTATAAAAGAAAAATACTGCCTCCATTAAAATAATTATATTTACATCAGAAACAGCTCTCCAACTCTCTTCCTTCTGATAGAATGGAAATGACCTTCATTTCTCCTTTTTAGAGAATCTTAACACCGGTGTTTAAGCCTTGCTATCTATAAGCTCTTAGGCTAAATGAGATGAAATTGCCAATTTCGTAAGTTAAAAATGGTTGAATATCAGCAATTTCATCTGGTTAAACCCTGCATAAAACTTTGACATTTTTAAGCGACCACTAGGGCAAAGATACATTTCCATCTGCTTTACCTGCCAAGGGTAAGTATTCTCATTTGATGGACTGTCAGTGGGCTATATCAAACCGATATTCTTTCAAAGGCTATTTCTCTTACTCAAAAATAATACTAAACTAGAAGTATCTAATATTTAAAAGTATACGACAGTGAAACAGCCGAGGAGTTGGGATGGGGGCCAGGTGATGCAGGAAGCCATTTGGGAACCAACAGCTGTTGACCCAGAACATAGAGCCACACTCGGCCATCTGAATCAGCCCATCCTCCATAAGGAAAAGGGACCATCACAGTCTTTGCCTGCACTAGGGGAAGGAGACGGGAATTACTGCTTCGTTCTTAAAACAGTAATATTATGCATGGAGGAGGGCACTTGGGACGAGCACTGGGTGTTGTATGGAAACCAATTTGACAATAAATTATATTAAAAAAAAAACAGCAACATTATAAAAATCCTTAGAAGAGTTTAGAGCTCTAGAACAGAGAAGAAACCTGAACTTTTTCTCTCTTCAAGAACAAAGTGACTGCCTCGTTTCTGTTAAAACAGACAGCAGAAGCAATCCTCCGTAGGTTTCATGGCTGGATTGTGAATTACTTAAATTTTTTAAAAAGGATAATTTACCAAGATCAACAAAGCCACCGGTCAGTTTAAATAAAGTGCCTGGAGAGCCAAAACAGACAAACAAATGGGCAAAACAAACAAACAAAAAACAAACACACATAAACACGCCAAACAAAAAAGAAAAACTCTTCCATTTTGCCGAAAGTGTTGCTGTCTGAAAAGTAACATTTCCAACAAGAGCACAAGAAAGGGTTAGAAAGGGGGCGGTTCCGAACTGTCTCTGATTTCTCTACTCATGTCTGACGTACATCAACATCTTCTGTTTGCTTGCTTGGTTTCCATGTTAAACAGAAATTTGTAAATAAGATAAATTATATTCGCTGGACGTTTTTATTTCTTTTCAAGTTCTTTGTATTCACAAACTTTCATTTTTATCGACTTATTTATTTTTTTTTTAATTTTTTTTTCAACGTTTTTATTTATTTTTGGGACAGAGAGAGACAGAGCATGAACGGGGGAGGAGCAGAGAGAGAGAGGGAGACACAGAATCGGAAACAGGCTCCAGGCTCCAAGCTGTCAGCCCAGAGCCCGACGCGGGGCTCGAACTCCCGGACCGCGAGATCGTGACCTGGCTGAAGTCGGACGCTTAGCCGACTGCGCCACCCAGGCGCCCCTATCGACTTATTTTTTTAATCTAGCAGAT